GCATCCATTCTCAATGAGACAAAGTCTCCCATGTTAATTACTAGGTTAATGGTTTCTCTTGGCTAGAGATATTAGCGCTACACTGGAGGATTCCCTGATGAGGTACTACAGAGCCATGTATGCACACATCCACCCATTTAAGCTTTCAATAAACACAAAGCATCATTTTAAACAATTTCAGCAGAATAAATTTAAAATATTGCATTTCTAGTGGCCTGCTTTATTGTTTCGTGGACTGGCTTGAAGCACTGTTCATGGCACAGTAGACACAACACTTAATTGGTGGCTACTCCAAGTTCTTTAGACTTCAGCATTTCCTACTCTTCAGGCCTCAGTACCTTTTTGTAGCAATAATGGTATTCTTCATCAGCATAGCCACTGTCATGGGACCAACACTCCCAGGGACAGGAGCAATATAACYGGCTTTCTTACTGACTCCTTCAAAGTCTTATCTCCAACCAACTTGGGTTTAGCAGTTATAGGATCCTGAATTCTGTTTATTCTCATGTCAGTGATTGCTGTTCCTTCCTTGTCCGTATCTGCTGTGATCAGACTTGGAATGCCTGCAGTAGATATGACAATATCTGCAAGAATTGTGTGTTTCTTCAATTGTTCTTTGGGAGTGTATCAATGAGATACATACTGGAAAGATGGCATCACCTCCAGGTCATTCATGAGCCCCATCTCTGTGTAGTAACATTGCAATATACATTGTAACATTTTTTGATCTTTCAGCCACAACCATGTTCTTCCCTAGGATTGGAATACCAGTTTGCTTAATTAATCTCCACACACYTCCTGGGGTAGTGGGAAACATGCAGTATTTGTCCAAACACATTTGCCCCACATTAGTTACATGAAAGCCATCAACATCCTTGTCGGAGGACCAGCATTGCTGATCTTTATCTCTTCACTGTGCTCTGGAGAGGCAGCTGAACAAGGAGACCGTCTAGATTTTCATCATTACTTAGATTATTGATTAAGTTCAATAGTTCTTCCTCTGAAGATTGAAGCTGATTGCACAATCGTCTCACTGTTGATTCTGAACTGTGGCCAGGTGGAAAGGTTGGTGGCAGAGGTGGTAGCTTTGCACAAAGCAGTCTGCCGCCAAAGCAGATAGAGAAAGTTGTAATCATCGCCAGTGCCTGTGTCTGTGCCAGGAGCGAATTTACTAAATGTTAATTCATTTAATATTTAAAACCACTTTATAAAGTTTTACTAGCATTATTCTTAAATTACAGATGAGGGAATTATATATAAAGAGTTATATAACTTGTCTAAGGTAAAAGATCTAATGAATGAAAGAAGCAGAGTTTGAATCCATATGGTTTGGCTCCCAAGTCTATATACCTATCCTTTATAATATGCTAATATATAACAAATATATATATATATATATATATAACAAATAATATATAACAAACATATTGTTTTACAATAAAAAAGGAAGCAATTGTCTCTCCATAAATCCACCCCCAGATAGCAGTAGCCAAATTGACAATAACAACAAAGCAAAATGAGGATACAATCAATCCTAAGCAAAACCACCAGTCCTTTTTATTTTTTGTTTTGAGACAGGGCCTCACTAAGTTGCTGAGGTTGTCTTCAGTCTTTTCTCATCACTCCTTTACCTTTGGGTGCTTTTTCTTTTTTCTAAAAGACCAGGATCCTCCTCCAGTGTGTAATCAACCCAAGCAAGCTGCTCAAGAGTTTCAAATCTCAGCACTATTCTGACTTTCCTCCTTAAACCACTTCCTTTATTTCTTTTCCTCTTCCTCTCCTGTCTGAAAAAAAAAAGCTGTCCAACCACTTTTTTTTTTTTTCTTGACAGGTTGGTCATTTTAAAACTAGGGGTAATTGTTTGCCTTTGATGATAGAAAACTTTCAGAGTACAGATATACTCCTTGATTTGATGGGCTATGTCCTAATGAACTCATTATAAAATGAAAGTAATATAAGAAGAATAGGCAATTAATACACTTTACCTATAGAACATAATAGCTTAGCCTAGACTACGTAAATGTCCTTAAAATTCTTACATTAGCCTACAGCGGGGCAAAATAACAGGAAACCCTATTGAACACTAAGTTCAATTTACCATTCTCCTGCCTCAGCCTGCCAGACCACTGGGATTACAGGCTGGTTACAATTTATGCATCCTCTTAGTTTATCTTTGGCTTCAATATAGTCTTTTTAAACTACTGGGGGAAAAAATTTCATTACTAAAACTCTACTTTTGCTTCCTTCCTAAATACTTAGCTTCTCTGTTTATCCAGAAATAAAAGATTGTCAGAGCTGAATGTAGATTTGGGTGACATGTGTTAGAGTTATAGATACCTTTACATGTAAAACTTAGTGTAGTTAAAAGATTTTTTAAAAAAGTTTGAGAGGCAGAGAAGGATCTTAGAATCTTATAAAAACAGAACTTGGAGTCCACAATGCATTGCACATGTTTGTTTGTTTAAGAAATGCAAACATAAAAAGTGTTCAGATATCTGACCATAAAATGATGCAAGTCAAGTCTTTGTTCCTGCAGTAAACTTGAGTCAAAAGAACAAACACAGATATCTCATAAGGTTGCTCAACCTGGAATGCCCCAAGGTTTTTACATCTGAAAGCAGAAATTTTTGAAGTTGAGTATCTTGACACTTTATTTCAACTACTTTGGCCCCCCCACCATGATGATGAATAAATTGCTGGGCAGTATTAGAAAACCTAAGTCGTTTTTAAATTTAAAATATCTGGTTTGTTATGTTTTAAGGTGCAGCAGCTGTAACATCTGTGAAATAAGTTAAATTGACATAGTAATTGAATCTGAGAATGTGCTTTAGGGATATTTATTTGCCACAGATAAAGAAAGAACCTTTTAAGCTCTTAAATAATGGATAGATTATTCTTATAAGGTATAAAATGTTTATAACTTGGAAAAGAACAGTTTTTCAATAGTGTCCTTTTATTTTCAAGGTAATGTTAAGTAATAATTGGACACTCTCTAAACTGATTTGTGAACTCCCTATTGTTGAGATTCCTTTCAACATATTATTTCATATATCCCAGGAGTAAAGAACCTATCACTCCCATCAGTCCCCCACCCAATAATTTCACCATGTAAGTATTTGTGAAATCATTATGTTGTATACCTTAAATACATATAATTTTAAAAATTTGTAGAAGCTCACAGTGGTTCTGTTCATGTTCTGCTCACTGCATCTCTCCACTGATTATAACTTGTTCTTTCAAATTCGGGGCACCAAGAGGCAGGCCTACTTTCTAATAGAAATAGTACAAATTAGCAGGCATTCTAGAATTCTCATAACATAGCACAAGATGTGAAGGCTACATTACACCCCATGCATTCATTCTCTCTCCTTACATGGGCTCTCTCTTGTATATAGCTCATGTGAATTATTGCTTTGGCATTGAATGGCTGGAGTCTCGTAAAACCATGTGCTTTTGGATACCATTTATCAAAATCACCTTCTTCCCTAATGAAGGAAGAGCTGATACCAGGCAATTGGTCCAGAAACATATTCTCCCGCCAGTCTGGGTTGTCCAAAGCACAATCTAGTACAACTTGATGTTTGAGCTACCTTTCTGGCATTCTCCATGGATGTTTAATTATTGAGCCTTTGCCTAAGCTACTGAAATTAGTGGGCCAGGGAGAGAGGAAGGCTCATTATGTTTTGAAGTGCCTGCTCACTTTCTTGGGGCAGCCTCCTTCAATTGAACTACTAACTCTGCTCTCATGTTTCTCCAGTTTCAGAGCTTAGTTTCTAGAGTAAGCCAAAAAAAACACCTCTCTTTACTTCCACTTGTATATACTGTGATCTGCCTTTTGTTTTTTTATGTGTAGACTCTTTTAGGTCCTTTTGCAAAGATCTACATTCTCAGAAAGTGGTTTCAACACTGAAGATGTCTCACCTATCAGTTACTAGAATCATAGAGACCTTAAGTGAAATAAAATGACTTCTGCAACCACAGAGACTAAGATGAAAATTATGATTCAAACTGGAAACAAATCCATTCACACACACACATACACACACACACACACACACACACACACACTGTCTTGATGTCTTTAATTTTTCTGATCTCATGGTCTGTAGTCTGTTTGAGTATATGGTCTATAGTTTGTGGCTTCCAAATTTTTTAAATTGCTGTGAAACTTGTCCTTGGAGATATTTAGTTTTCTTATCTTTATTTTTTATACAAAAATCTTGGAACTTTTGAGACATACCATGTATCTCAGTATCTCCTCAGTATTGGTCTTCTTTTTGCCTGCTGTGCTGGGAATTAAACAGGCTAGGCAAGCTTTACCACCAAGCCACATCCTCAGCTTCAGTACTGTATTGTTTTTTAATTAAAAATGCCAGGTAGTTTGATAATTTAAAAATTTTGAAAGTACAAGATAAACATAGTATGAAGATGAGTCATGAAAATCTTAGTTGAAATTCATGCAATCTACCCCTATCTTATTCCTAGTGGGTTTGATCGAAAATTAAAAAGAAATATCTTAAAAATGTAATTGTTTTTCATTTCTTTATTACCCACTGATGATGATGGGTACCTGATGATGTCCCTATTACTATAATAATAGGGACAAGCAAAATTGGAAAGTGTTTCACTTACTAATGAAAAATCTTCCATTGGTTTAAAAGCTAACATGTCCAGAAGCTCTGAACTGTGTTTTGTATAGTCTACCTTCAGGCTGAAAAGTAGCTTTTATAGCCCAAGATTCTGGCAATTGGCTATCTTAAAGAAGCCAGGACAGTTGTGAATCATTTAATGACTTGTTTGAAGCAGTTCACTCTCACTTTCCCCTCGTCCATAGTTTTGAAGGATTCTGACCTTATGAAGAGCTAAGGTTACCCTCCTAGGAACACACCGTGAAGATACCATAAGCCTTTTGCCTTGCTAATAGTAATCCTCCATTGTTTGTATGAAGGCAAAAGAAACCTCAGCAGAATATCTCACGTGTGCATGTTTTCATTTAACAGAAAAGATGAGTCCACAGGCTGAGTGTTCTGCAACTGAGACGCCAACCCCAGAGGAGGAGCATCAGAGAAGGAAGATGATGGCAAAGCGGGCAAAAATCATCAAGGAGTTAATACAGACAGAAAAGGATTATCTCAATGATTTGGAGCTGTGTGTTCGGGAAGTGGTTCAGCCCCTGAGAAACAAACAGGTAAATGCAAACTTGAGATTTTTTTTTTTTTTAGAAAACTTTTTTGATGTTCTCTCCTATATCCTAAAAAAGATCAGCAGCACATGAAATTGAAGCACCCTAGTTTATCAGTAAGGTGATGTGTCTTTTTCCTAGTTTCCAGTCATAAGTCCACAGAACACACCAGATTTGTACCTCTTGTGTCAAGCAGAGAGACACTCTAAACCCTCCCTTTGGCCACAGAAACTGTATTCTAAAACATGAGGAAATTCACAGCTTTTTTCCATTTTGAAATTTWTGTGTTCTGCCTTAAATTTCCATGAAACTGGTAACAAAATATGCGCAACAGGTTTTTAGCAGGCTAGGAACAAACTTCTTAATTCAACAGTAATCATGGATTTAGAAGAGAAAAATATGCCTACTCTCTCCATTAAGATTTTGATTAAATTTATGAATATTTAAATAAAATTCAATGAAAAAAAATAACATTAAATGTAAGTAAAATTGTTCTGTTTGAGTGGCCACAGACAAAACTTGAAGTGTTTATCAGTTAATCATTATCACCTTTAATCAAAGTAAATATACATACACAGAGTTATTTCACCCATTTAACACTTATTAATAGCGTGTTACGTAATCRTCACTGTTCCCAGTACTGACCCTTACAGTTCAGAGCAAAAACAAAGTCCTGCCCTTGTGGGATATGCTTTGTACTGCAGAAAGAGAGAAGTCAGACAGTAGACAAGAAAGAAAGAAAGTTAAAGTATATTAGATGTTACATCTCAGAAACCAAAGCAGGGGAAAAGGATACAGCTTGAAAACAGAGTTTTGGTTCTTCTGTTGAACAACTGTGGCAAAGGAAGGCCTTTCTAATAGGAGACATTTGAGCAGAGACTTGAAGGAGTAAGAAATGTTCCAAGTAGAATAGGAGGAGCAAAGACTCTTAACAAGCAGTAGCCAACCATGAGGGGGTAAGTGGTCCTCATATACAATTCAAATAGTTTAGAAAACATAAAATAGACAGTAAAAAGGGTCATAAATTCTACCTAAAAAAAAAATCACCATTTTTTTTGAATACACACAGGACATTTCCACATAAAGTGATCAAAACTACACATGCTGTTTTGTAACATAAGTGTTTCATTCAACCATATATATCTTTTCATGACTTTTAATACTTGTGAATGTTTTTCTACTGTTATTGATGTTGAGGTACACTTACCTTTCAGGTGCTTGTCTCCTTATCTCAATCCCATCTCAGCCACTCACTCCAGGTCACCTTAGAACTTGTCATTGCCAGTAATTTCAACCTGTTCAAATCAGAATTTCAAGCTTACTCTTCTCTAATTCTTACCTCCTCTCTTTCAGCCCACTCCTGCTGGTAACCTGTCTCTGACAATTTTTTGAGGGGTGCAGGGGTGGGTACTGGGGATTGAACCCAGGGAAGCTCTACCTCTACGCTACATCCCCAGAACATTTTAATTTTTTATTTTGACTCAAGGTCTTGCTAAATTGCCCAGACTGGCCTGAAACTTGCAATTGTCCTTGCCTCAGCCTGAATCACAGACATATGCCACCTCCCCCTGCCTCTGACAAATTTTTAGTGCCACCTAGACSTCCAAGTACTTTTTCCTTGTTCATCAGTTCCACAGCTGGCTTAGGGCCCATGGGTCATTCACTGTAATCACTGCTTGTATATGTGTTTGATTTCTTTTTCCCTTTTCTACTTACTCTCCTGAAAGATCGTACCTGGAGGGGTTCAGGTTTCTGGCATAAGTAAAGGTATGGAGTAGACAGTCTCTTAAAATTCAAGACCACTTTCTTCACATGGGTCTCCCAGTAATGTCTCTAAGGGGGGATCTCTCATATCTTTTCCCTCACACCTCAAATACTCCCTTTTCTCTCCTAATGTCTTTTTCTTACCACTTTATTGAATAAGTATACATAATACAGGAGAGGCACACATTTACAACACCAAATCTACCAAACGACCTGCATCTCTAACCTACATAATCTGACTTCCTCCTATTTCAAAATATCAATAATTCCTGCTTATAGTGAAGGACAACCTCTCTACTAAGACAGCAGATCTGACCCCTTCAGGCTTATTCTAGGGCTTTACTCTTCCATGTGTCCTTTCTGTGTCCTGAATAATTAATTTTACCTGCTGTATTGGATCATCGTCATTCCCATTATCTGTTATCTCAAAACAAAAACAACAACRACAAAAAAACCCTCCCTCAATACTAAAAGATTTAACTACATATTCTGTATTTCTTTCTCTTTTAAAATTAACTTTAAAAGGGCTGGAGTTGTGGCTCTGCCGTAGAGTGCTCGCCCTGCACATGTGAGGGGCTGGGTTCAATCCTCAGACCACATAAAAATAAATAAATAAATAAAATAAAGATATTTAAAAAGTTAAACATAAAATAGGTAATATGTGCAAAAGCATGCGACTGAAACATGTTTCAAAATAAGCACMGTATCCTGTCTCCAAATAAATAATAAATAAAAAGGACTGGGGATGTGTCTCAGTGGCTAAGGGTGTCTGAATTCAATTCCTGGTACAAAAAAATAAAATTAAATAAAATAAGCACAGTATGCCTATGTTGCGCTAGTGATAAAAAAAAACCTTAATATATAAGAAAACTCCTTCTCTTGACTTCATCATCCACATTTGTCTCCCATGGAATGAGAAGTTCATTCAGTTGAAAATATTGCCCATTTCAAACCATCTGCTACACAGTTGAGTCAAACTGGGCCTACCAATAGGAATGCACTGCTGAGCTGCACTCTTTTTTTTTCCCTCTTTAATTTTTAAAATTTTTTTAAATACACAACAGCAGAATGCATGACAATTCTCATTACACATATAGAGCACAATTTTTCATATCTCTGTATATAAAGTATGTTCACACCAATTCATGCTTTTATGCATGTACTTTTTTGCATTACAACTGTTATTACACATATATATCACAATTTTTCATATCTCTGTATATAAAGTATGATGACACCCAATTCGAGTCTTTATACATGTACTTTGGATAATGATGTCCACCACATTCAACCATCCTTGCTAATCCCCTGCCCCCTCTATTTCCCTCCCACCCCTCTTCCCTATCTAGAATTCATCTACACTTTTCTTCTCTAATTTTTGTGTTTTATTTTTTGCTGTTGCTTTCCTCGTTTTATGCTTCCTAGTAACTGTTAGAATATGCGATTCTCAGTATAGGTGTCTCAGACCATGTCAAATAAAGAATTTCCACTATGGTATCATTTATGGTAATTTAGCAATGTTTGACTTTGGCTCCCAGTGCTTTGAATTCCGGTTCTCACGATTCTAACTCACATTTCCCATGTTATTCTATTTGGGTTGTGGATAGCTTGTTGATTTTTCACTCTGGGTGCTTCTCTTGGTTTTGGTATCTTTGGGTGCTCTTTTTTTCTTCCTCTTTGTGGAAATCAGTTTCATTCTAGCAGCCTATTTGTCCTTTCTACTAATGCAATAGCAAATCTTTTAAGGTTTCTCAGAATTCTCCTGTCAGATCTGCCTTTTCCCCACCTCTTAAAGCTTTTAATCTTTGATTAAGTAAATATGTGCTCAGGAACTTATGTGAGTCTCATAAACATTTATATGAGGCTGAGTTGGTTAACTGATGCCAGCAGTTCATTAACTTACTGCCTCTTCATGTCCTCACTTCCCTCCTAACCGTTTAAATACCACAGTCTGTGCACGCTACCCACCTGTCATCAGTTAGTGTCAAAATATGTAAATTAACTCATACAATTTTCAGGTAACCATGGGAACCATCTGCAAACCATGCTTAGTTAAACCTCAGGCAACATAAGTAAATATTTTACGTGTATATGTCAGGCTGGAAGATATGTTAGAAAGTCATCTAATCTCACCGTCTTTTCTCTGTGTAAACTTAAACTTAGACTCCCAGTAAAAACATGGCATTTTATGTAAGTGAAGATTGGTGGAAGGAAGTTGAAAACTGAAAAAAGCACTACACGTTTTGGGTTTATGTGAGTGAACTTGTGTGAATGAACCAGCGTACAAATGAATGACTAGATCCAGCCTTGACTGACAACTGTGCAGGGACAATCGACTTCTTTTTAATCTTAACTTCAAGTTTTTTCCCACCAATAGGCCATCACCTAACTGGGAACAGGATAAATGAAGCAGTTACATCATCTTTAACAGCAGCACTATGAAAGGTTTTGCAAAGATGGCAAAAGTATTCGCAACATTCAATGTTGAAATTTTCACTGGGCTAACAAGTTCTATATATTCTATATATATATTATCCAAACATGGCAATAGGAGGAGACTCCCCATTTTTTGGCAGTAGATCAAAATAAATAAAACTGGAGAAGGCTATTTAATGATAGATAAGGATTTTATGTGTAAGAACAAAAAGGTGACTGAAAACATTAGAGGAATTTAAATCCATATTTTTTATTTGTGTTTGTTTTTTAATTTCTAAAATTCACATAGTACAAATCTACCTAAGATCTCAAGAGGAATATAAGATCTCAAGATTTCCAAAAGGTAAAAGGTATTTTATTTATAAGCATTTATTTTGAATGCACACTAGGTAGATTATTTATTTATTTATTCATTTATTTTAGTTGTTGATAGACCTTTATTTTATTTATTTATTTGCAGTGCTGAGAATCAAATCCAGTTCCTCACACATGCCAGGAAAGTGCACTAGCACTTAGCCCCAGCCCCAGCCCTAGATTTTTATTTATGATAAGAAAGTTATGGATATTTATTTATTTTGAATTTGTTCACATATGGTCTAATTGTGTGCATTATGCTTCAAATGTTGTATTTTCTGGAAAATGCCAAAAATTCTATAATTTAGTATTGGCAAGAACTTCCTGGAATTTTTAAGTTTCACAGAGCAATTTCCTAAGAATTTTCCTATAATAATTAATAGAGGAAAACATACGTCAGCAATATCTCAGGTTTTTGCGTCATGGAGGCATTCTTATCAAAATCGTGTTCT